CAGACAACACCAAGGCCCAATAAAGAACAGACAGAAGACAAAGACAACAAAGAAGACAAATTCCCACAGCTAACCAGCCGTGTTAAAGAGATCCCCAGCCACAAAGCTGGCGCCATAATCCCCCCCCCACCCCACCCCCGCCCCCCTAAGTCCCCACCATGATTACCTCATTCACCGATACTTAGAGGTTCATAAATTTCTCTCCGACTTTCCAGAACGATCGATGCGTGTGGGTGTGAGAACTGCATTATTTATGAGGTCACGTGGTCCGGTGCTTAGTTTGACCGCCTGGTTAATCCGTTGTCACCGGAAGTGCCAGGGCATGTGGTCGTCTGAAAGTCTATGTCATCGTCTGCTGTTGGTGGTGGATGACACACATACATTACTGGTCAACCAAAAATACATTTTTTTAAAAACGTTTACCCTTTTATTTAAACAGTTTACTAAGTTCAAAAAAATATTATTTACCTTTATGTTTTAAATACATTTTTTTAAAGTTGCATCGTATAAGATTTGGCTCTCCAGTTCCAGAATAATTATATTATTTTATTTACAAAACTCAAACATATTATACTGCAAAAACAAAATTACTTTAAATAAAATAAAAACAATGAGAATAGGTGGAGTAGAGCGTATATGGACAGCTGACAGCCGCTGGGCATTAGGCCCAGCCACACAACTGTGCTGTGGCCAGCCCCGTGGCAATGGTTCCATGCTTTCCACTACTGAAGTGCACTTAAAAATGTAAGTGGCTCTTTAAAAAAAATTAAATTTTGTAGACTGTAACTTTTGTCTATTCGTCTATTCCGTCTCAAAAGGTTGCCGACCAATGAGTTAGACTGATTTGCCTCAACATTTTTTTCTAAATATTTCATGTGAAATGTTTCATGTACATATTTTTAAAATGTTTCATCTACATATTTTTGATTGTATATTATGTCTTCAAAAATTTGCTTAAAATTATTTTAAATCTTAATTGGTTTAGTTTGCATACAAATATTTAATATCACTTAAAAGTATTTTTAAACTAAATATTTTTAAAGTAACGTGTAAAAAAAAAACACTAATTATTTTGAATATACTACAACACTGTCTTCAGTCTTAACCATGAACTTAAAAATGGTAAATGGAAAACACAAACATTTGTTAGTCAATTTTCGTATAAAAAAAAATCCCCAGTAAATTTTCCTCCATTTTTTCGCCTCTGTGTCTAGATATATCAATCAATGTAGATTATGTAAAATTAACCTCAGACTAGTTATTGTTTCATTCCTCCCCACCCCCACCACCAGAGTTTCTACCAGGCATCTCTTCGGGGGGCTCTGCCCCCCCCCCCCTCCGAATAAAGTCTACCCCCCCCCCCCCCGAACGAAATGGAATTAATATAGAAAATATATACTTTTAACAGTGTGCCCCCCCCCCGGAATTTTAGTCCGCCCCGGGAGAAAAAAGTCTGGAAGAAACACTGCCCTCCACCCCCACACCATTCGCTTCTAAACTACATAAATTACTTAAATATATTTCGTCATACTTATTCTAGAATTCTTTTTGTCAACTTAATATTGTGTAATACTTTTCCAAATTAAGAATAATTTTTTTTTGACAAAGTAAACTACTCATCAAAGTCTAATCACACTTGACCTCTTGACCTCACTGTCACCATACTCTCCATGACAATGAAAACTGCTTTGTCCTACGATGTGTGTTGACCGTCGACGCCCATAGATTGGAAACAGCTCGCTCGCCTAAGCTGCAAATAACGAGCACTCTTTTCCCCCAGTCGACATTAGCGCTGTAGAGTTACCGCTGGCTTCTAATTAACGCCCCTGGCAAGCAGGACATGACACCGTGACCTTATTTGTTCTTCGTCTTTTGATATCGAGGGTCGCAATTATTTAAATTTAAAAAAATAACGTTAATTATTTCTGTCACAATAAAATCTTCTAGAATCATCCTCGTTAACACTTCGGGAATTCCATTTAATTTTACATTACATTTTGATTTTTTTTATTCCTAAAATATCCTTTTGTGTATCCTCTTGGACTTAGCTGTCAACGAGAAGCGAGGCTATTTTCGTATTTCGTTTATTTTTTTCCCTGGCATTGGCTTACCGTGACTCGGTGGCGGCACTTCATAGTGTCACCCCCCCCCCCCCGTCTCTCTCACACCAAATGGATAAAAGGTATGTTACACAAACACACGCACACACACACCCACACATTATATATATATATATATATATATATATATATATATATATATATATATATATATATATATATATATATATATATTTACAATTGCAACATGGTGTCGCCCCCCGTCGCCCCTCCCCCCCCCCCCCCCCGCAACCATTATCGTCAATTTGTAATTACATTTTTTTTAAATTTATAACAAAAATTTATTGAACCGACAAAATAAATTTTTCTTATTATCTATTTTGAATTTTTTTTTACTTGGTGTCACCCCCTTAATGATGTCACCCGATGCGATCCGAACCCACAACACCTGCCTCGCGACGCCTCTGCTGTAACTGAAATGGTCGGGCGAAAGAGCGTATGATTGATTGCACCAATAGTCTCGAGTTCGGATCCCCCGGCAGATGTTAGCTAGGGACAGCAACCCATCTAGGAGAGAAAACTCCAAAATGAATTATCTGCTGCCTTTCCAGATTGTTCTTTGTTGGGGAATCCTTAAGAGCAAAACAAAAACCAGATGAAGTCGGAATGAACAGGACAAATGGCGCTTAATATGCGGATTCGTGATATTTAATTGTATTGGAGGAAATGCCGTCCAACATTTTAATTAAAAACTAAGAAGAAGAAGACTTCAAACGACTTGGGATGATCAAACACAAAGAGAATATAAAAAAAACTGTATCGAATTTACTGATACTCTTGTGTTAACACGGTCAGGGTAGAGATGTTGGTTACGGTCAAGATTTGTCCTACTTTAAGGTGTGTATTTAAAGTATTTTATTTGTTCGTTTCAAGCTTGTTATTATGTAGTTGTTTTTTTTTTTAATTTTCTGTTAAGGTTAAAAGTCAGGTATAGCGATACCAACAAACAATATAATGGAGTTTTAATGTTAATCGATTTGTATTTAACAATTCAGTCGGCTAGATTTATACAGCGTCAGTCTATATGAAGGAGGGTTGGCAGTTTTACCCCCACCCACCATCCCCTAAGTAATGCCTGAAATAAACTCTGATACTGGGGGTCTCTTTAAAACTTTGATGATTTATGTCCGTGTTTGAAGGTCTCACGATGCGGCGATTTGTGATGATGTAAGGCGCGGACGTGCAAGGGTATCGTGTAGTTGATAGCACCGTTTGTTGAACTGAGATACCCTCTGAAATAGAATCATACAGACACGCGATCGTTTTTATTGCTTCTATTGTTTGTAAAAGTTGACGACAATATAAGCAGAAAGGTAGGTAAAGTGGGACGTTGTTGTTCCTTTTATCCCTACACTCTCATATATATATATATATATATATATATATTAATGTATATATATATATATATATATATATATATATATATATATATATATATATATATATATATATATATATATATATATATATATTTATTTATATATATATTAATATATATATATAAATTTATATATATATATATATATATATATATATATATATATATATATATATATATATATATATATATATATATATATATATATATATATATATATATATAAATAAATATATATATATATATTTATATATTTATATATATATATATATATATATATATATATATATATATATATATATATATATATATATATATATATATATATATATATATATGAACGACTAATAATACACTAATTAAATTTTATTGTAAGACTTGTATTATTCCTGAACTTCGCCACCAAGTTTTGCCATTTCCCGGCATCATTAGCGAGGCTACACAATGCACATTGTCGAGTCGCCTACAATGCTACATGAGTTGCCTCAAAACTAATTGGACAACCGGAAGTAAAAGGTCAAGGATAAATCTCTTGGCAGTCCTGGTCGAGTTTTAAAGTGCTAGTGCTTTTTATTAGAGAAATTTGTACAGGGGTGACGAAAAAATAATCAAGTTTTTAAAATCATCAAAAAAGTATCAAAATACTGTAGAATGTATAAGATGATATTTTAAAATCTAAACTAACCTTCTAAGTGGCAGTTATTAATTTGGAATAATGTTTTTAATATTGTGAGCAATGTTATCGATTTCGTTAAAATTTATTTATTAGTTAAAATTGTGTATATTTTATTTTATTCATTGTTTCTTTCGTTTTCTAAAAAAAAAAGTATTTCGTTTTTAAAAAAAACTGTTCTTATCAAGTCTTTTCTCAAAGGTCTAATTAAACCTGTAGATACATTTTAAAAAACCAGTACAGATAGGTTAAAAATAACGTTTTACTAGTTTGTTGTGAAAACAAACAACACCATTCTAAAATCATTGTGGTTAGACTTTAAAAATAAATATTTTTAAAAATGTTTTTATCTTAATATCTAATTTAAAACATTTGTCATGAAAGTTGTTTTATGCTGAAATCTTTTTCGAATGATGTTAATGTTTTTTAAAGTGTATTTTTAATGCGTTGGATTATTGCTTTAAAATATCTTTAACACAGCCCTCCCCCCCCCCTCCCGTACACACAAATTGGGATTTAGATGCCACGTTTTGACAAGTTAATGGAATCTAAATATTCAGAGGATTTTTAAAGATCTTTCTGTTGGCCGTTTAACAATTTTCCTTTGACAGCGGTTAAAAAGCTTCGTTCGTATGAAGGGAAAATAAAACGTAAGCTTGTAAAAAGTAATGTTCCCTTTTCGAACTTGACGGTCCAAAGACAAGTGAAGTAGAGTTCACTTGTTTCTGTGAGCTGGGAAAATGAAGGGATAGTGTGGTTAGCACTGTGCTGTAAATTTGTAGGTCTGGCTAAATCGGTTGTCAGCGAGATGTCGGTAATTGTGTTTACAATGGAGCAGGTACACAGTTCAAAGACCTTGACACTGGAGCAGGTACATAGTTCAAAGACGTTTACATTGGAGCAGGTACATAGTTCAAAGACATTTACAATGGAGCAGGTAAATAATTCAAATAACTTGACATTGTATCAGGTACATAGTTCAAAGACGTTTACATTGTATTAGGTATATAGTTCAAAGACGTTTACAATGGAACAGGTACATAGTTCAAAGACGTTTACATTGTATTAGGTACATAGTTCAAAGACGTTTACAATGGAACAGGTACATAGTTCAAAGACGTTTACAATGGAGCAGGTACATAGTTCAAAGACGTTTACAATGGAGCAGGTACATAGTTCAAAGACGTTTACATCGGAGCAGGTACATAGTTCAAAGACGTTTACATTGGAGCAGGTACATAGTTCAAAGACGTTAACATTGGAGCAGTTACATAGTTCAAAGACGTTTACATTGGAGCAGGTACATAGTTCAAAGACGTAGATACTGGAGCAGGTACATAGTTCAAAGACGTTTACATTGGAGCAGGTACATAGTTCAAAGACGTTTACATCAGAGCAGGTACATAGTTCAAAGACGTTTACAATGGAGCAGGTACATAGTTCAAAGACGTTTACAATTGAGCATGTACATAGTTCAAAGCCGTTTACACTGGATCAGGTACATAGTTCAAAGACGTTTACACTGGAGCAGGTACATAGTTCAAAGACGTTTACATCGGAGCATGTACATAGTTCAAAGACGTTTACATCGGCGCAGGTACATAGTTCAAAGACGTTTACATCGGAGCAGGTACATAGTTCAAAGACGTCATGGGACTGAGTGGACTAAATGTTTTACACTCGCGTGTTAAACTGAAAGTCAGGTTTTGCTAAGAGGGCTCAAGGTTGTGGCTGTATGTTGTTCAGTGACCATACTAGACCGCTTATACCAAACAAGGTGGTGAGACCGAGGTAAACAAAAAGATAGGTGGAATCAAGTGAATCTGGCGTTTAGTAACATTTGTGCCGGAAATTCTTGATTTTGCTTTGTGTTTTGCCCTGACTGATTCAAGAGAAACACTAAGTTTCAGTATTTTTTTTGTCTTTTATAATGTACTCAACTTTATTAAATCATCGTTCACAAATAAACATATTTTTGTTTTTGTGATTAAAGCATAAAATTCTTTTTTTTATTGGTTATTCTACCTAGAACTTAATAGATTGTGTATTTTTGTTTTGTTCATTTTCTAATACTTTTGTAATTTAGCATGCATATTGATGTCCTTCATCACAGTGCATCTTTTTATTTGTAAGTTGATTCAAGTTGTAATTGAACACGCCGTACTGGTTTAAATTTTCCTTGTACTAGCCTATTTATATTTTTTACATTGTTTTCAGAAATGTCAAGTCCAATATTAAATTGTATCTGAGATTAATGTAAATAATGGAATTTTAGACATTGCTTCTTTTGTTTGCCATTTACAAAAAAAAAAGAAAAAAAAAGGTTTAAAACGTTCACGGCCTGTCAGCTTTGCTAGTTTTGATTTGTTTTTGTTTATAAAACCGGGCTGAGCTAGAAAATGTAGACTTGCCTTTATTACACTCAGCCTCTTATTAAATGTCGTCATCAATTTTAGAGCTTGAACTCAGGACACGAAGGCCAATAGACAACAAATCGATATTTTTTTTTTACATTTAGATAACGTGTGTAGACAATAGATATTTGAATAGATATTTAGACAACGTTGTGAACGATATATATTTAAATCAAGGTTAAACAATCCTATACAGACAATAGGTGTAGAGTTAGGGGTGCTGGTCAGTAAATATATGTAGAATTTAAATAGCGTGTATAGTGAATTCAGGGACGGCGTGGCCTAGTAGTATAATGCTAGGCTGCTAATCCAAAAGTTCGAATCCGGATTCAAGTCAGTAGAACGTCATTGAGTCCACCCAGCTCTGATGGGGTAACTAACTCATGTTAGGGAAAGTAAACACTGCTAGGTCAAAGAATCATTAGTTCACTTGCCCCTTGGACGGTCAGGTTCGAAAGTGGAACTTTACTTTTATAGAAGATCCATGTTGGAATAGAGTTTAGACCATTGTGCAGACACTAGTTATCTTGATGGTGTTAGACAACTTGCATGGACAATATTTGTTTAATTAAACAGAGGTGAAACCAACAAACAGAAGAGTGAAGAGCTTGAGGCAAATGTTGAAAGCAGATTGACTTGGTATAGAATGATCTGATACAGAATGACTTGATACAGAATGACTTGGTACAGAATGACTTGGTACAGAATGACTTGGTACAGATTGACTTGGTACAGAATGACTTGGTACAGAATGACTTGGTACAGAATGACTTGGTACAGAATGACCTGGTACAGAATGACCTGGTACAGAATGACTTGGTACAGAATGACCTGGTACAGAATGACCTGGTACAGAATGACCTGGTACAGAATTACTTGGTACAGAATGACTTGGTACAGAATGACCTGGTACAGAATGACGTGGTACAGAATGACTTGGTACAGAATGACTTGGTACAGAATTACTTGGTACAGAATGACCTGGTACAGAATTACTTGGTACAGAATGACCTGGTACAGAATGACCTGGTACAGAATGACCTGGTACAGAATTACTTGGTACAGAATGACCTGGTACAGAATGACCTGGTACAGAATGACTTGGTACAGAATGACCTGGTACAGAATGACCTGGTACAGAATGACTTGGTACAGAATGACTTGGTACAGAATGACCTGGTACAGAATGACCTGGTACAGAATGACTTGGTACAGAATGACCTGGTACAGATCGACCTGAAACAGAATAATATGTTACAGAGTGACTTGGTAACGATAGCTTATTACAAAATGACTCGACAGAGAATGACTTTCAAATTTCGGATGGTACCTGATTCCATCTAAATTCCCTGACTCCATCCCATTTTGGATGGTACCAAGCTTTCACTGACGCAGCTGACTCCATCACCATATAGATGGTATCTGATTCGTCGAAATGAGTGTTTCGGGGAGGGGGGGATAAATGAAAAGCTGTTACCCATTGTTCTAATCACATTATCTGTTTATATGATAACCACATTATCCAATCATAAGCTAACAACATTATCCCTACATGTGATGATATACCCCCCCCCCCTCCAAAAAAAAGATTATTTCTACTTCATCTGCATTGTTGCCTGATGAAGATGCTCTTTATTACCACCAGGAGGTCGTTATGCTAATGCCACTGGATGTAATAATTAGCATTTTAACCTTTTTGTAGTTTATATAGCTCTCCTGTCTACGATAAAGTTCGAATAAAAAAAATCAAGCGCAACATGAATTTAAAAAAAAAGAATTTTGATTAAGCTCATTATTTCACAAGTGCCATTTTTGTTTTGGCATTTTGCAGGCTTAGCTTAGCCAAGGGGAAAAAAAACTCACACCCAAATCTAAAATTAGCCTTCATGAACGTGCTTTGGAATATAATATTTGTACTTGAACATCTCTTTCTCTTACCCGCCCACCCCTTCTCTTTCTCCTGACACCTCAGCACAAGCTGTATGCCACAGATTATGTCTTATCAAATATAACATTTTTTTCTAGTGAAGATTTTGTAACTCTTCACAGCACAAAGTCAATAAAAGCTCGCACCGGAAGACCGGGGGATTATCTTCTACAGTTGTTCATATTTTCTTAAGTCAACCTGTTTTGTTTTAAAGATGTTAATTTTCTTTAAACGTGGATGATTTCTTTAATAAAAGTAAAACGCTTATTTAAGTTCAGGAGTTTGAAAAAAGTTGCATTTCCGGTGACACATTTTAATTTGTTTCCGCCTTTTTTCAAGGAATAAGCCAGATATTTTTAGCGCAATTTCCATTCTGGAGAATTGCGTTTATTAACCCGTCATTTCTGGACGGATGGATGAATGGATGAATGTGTGTCCGCAGCTTTAAGTCGTATCTCCTCCTCAACGAAGCAATATCGATGACTAGTTCCAAAAGCAATTATGTTAAGCAAGTTACGAGGATGAACATAGGCCATAAAAATTCCGGGTTTCTTTCATGGATTTCCCGGAAAAGCCAAAACACCTAAAAATAAAGCAGTTTTTGGCCCATATCTCGGCAACCAGACCACTTAGCGACTTGAAACATGTACCAATCGATTCCTGCTATAATTTAGAACAATATTGCCGAAGAAAGTTTTCAAAAATATCCTTTCGTTCGGTCCTAACAAATTTTTTGAATTAATTAAAATTTGGACCGAATTAGTAGGCATTTTATGCAACCACACCACACGCGTCATCACGTTCAATAGCTGCGCCATCACGTTCAATGGCTGCGACATCACGTTCAATGGCTGCGACATCACGTTCGGTAACTGGGCGCGCAATGGTTTTTAGTCATATTACTCTATTGTAAATAAAACATGTAAAAACGTTTTAATAACTAACCAATGGTTTTACTAACCCTGCTCTTGATTTACGCTACGACAGAGCTATTTTTAGATAACATAAGGAAATTGCGCTAAAATTGTCACTAGACTTTTTTTAATTACTTGTTTTTTCGAGCTGGTTATAATTATTTTCTTGGAAACCTTGTAATTTCCGAAACATCATTTAGTGAAAACTGATTTGTTTTAAATTAATTTTTTCAATGTATATTTTTAAGAAAAGTATCGACATTATATGATTTATTGCAGCAAAATAAAAATAAAAACATTTTTGATTAAAAATTGAAATTCAATTTATTATTTTTTTTTACACAAATATCGTACTGGGTATGATTCGTCAGTGGAAGCATCGGCTTTTATCGTCATATAAATAGGTTAAAAGTTTACCGTTGACTAAGTATATGAGCGTGTAATGTATTGACTTCTGTACGATTATACACTCAGTTTTTGACTCAGCGCCGCAGTAAGCACAGTGTTTCTTCCAGCCCCACCTCCACCCGAACAAAATTGAATTTATATAGAAAAAATATATTTTTACTATTGTCCGCCCCCCCATCCCGAAAATCTCAAGTTCCCTGCCTCCCTCCCCCCCCCCCCACCCCCACACCCGGAGTAAAAGTCTGGAAGAAACACTGAGTAAGCATGTATGTTATTGCTATACGTCCTACACTCAGAATTTTTTTAGTAATAAAACAGTGAGATAAAACATCAAATGTATTAAGATCCCATTTTTCACATTCAAGCTCCACAGAGATTGACTTGATATTGTTGTTGTTGTTAAATTTAGAATTTAAAAAAAAAATTGCGATATTCAATCGCTTGGTTCAGTAATAGAACAGGTCAAATTGGTACCTTCTGGACACATTTGAAAACATTTTTTTTTTCTTTAAATACAAGCCGGAAACCCATTTCACAATTTTAATCCTGGCTGACCCAGTAAACGATGCCGCTGTCCACACTTGTACCCACACACCCCGGCCTCTCTGCGTGAGACATCACGTGGTACAGCAGTTACACCGTCTTTAGTTTCAAAGCTCTGGTGCGGGGGGTCTATTCTATGTCTGGTGCGGGGGTCTATTCTATGTCTCGCTGTATTGCTTTCGCTCATGCTGTTTTCGTAGTGCAACAAATAATTCACATGGAGTCCTCTCGTCTTTCGGGTGCTGGTGTTTTTTTTTCTTCTAAATCTTTAACTTTATCCAGGATTCTACAAATAATTCTGGAAAAAGATATTAAGGGGTTGACGAAAATTATTTCATCGTTATTGTTGTAAAAAAAAAAAAGTAAAACTCCACTTTCAAACCTGACGGGCTATAGGGCAAGTGAAGTAGAGTTCACTTGTTTCTGTGACCTCGGCATATGAAGTGATAGTGTGGTCAGCACTATGTCCAGCCGCCTTTACTTTCCCTAACATGAGTTAGGTACACAACAGAGTTGGGTGGACTCAGGGACGGTCTACTGACTTGAACCCGGATTCGAACTCGAGACTTACGTGAGTACAGCTCTCTACAGCTAGACCACTCCGTTCCCTCGTTATTGTTGACATTGTTGATATTGTTTACACTTTGCCATCAGAGCGGGCGTTAAAAAAACTTGAGCCTGAATATAATTCAGAAATTTTATATTTTTAGAATCAAATGTTATAAAAGTAGCAAATCCGAAGATCTTGAAACTTTTCTTATTTTTTTTGTTGTTGTTGAATTTTAAGATACTTTTCTATTAATTTATACTCATCCAGCCAAAGTTTTAACTTGAAGTTTCACTTTAGTAAGACAAACGCTGATTGGCTGAACAGAAACTCCGTGATCGATCTTCTGGAAACCCCAATTTATAGTAATTTGTTCTCAAAACTTTGTAGATAAAAAATTTTAAATATTTTTTTTTTCCCACATGACATTGCTCTGTCATTTTGTTTTCTGTGATAAAATGTAAACAACCGAATTACTTTCGGCTTTAAAAGAAAAATTAGTATAGTTACCAGAAATACTAAAGACATCAAATACAAAGTCCAACAAAAATCAAATAGATTTTTATAACCATGTTTATTTCAATAGCATCGTACATGATTTATAAAATATTTAATGGGCATTTCGATTAATTTCGAGACTATTCTTGGTTGGGTCCATTACACTGTGCTTATTCTAAAAATAGATACACCCATAAAAAATCGTCAATGAATACGAAATTGTCCAGTCAAAGATTAGTTAAGAAACCACGAAAGTAATAACAATCTTTCTTTTTCGTACATATTCATTGAATAAACATGAAACCAAAAAGTACAAAGTTGAAAGAAAAAAATCCACAGTTTCTTTCAGGCAAGAATCTCTTTTTAGGGTGAGGGAAAGAGAGATAGGAGGTATTTCAAGTGACCCTCCCCCCCACACACACACACCCTTCATTCCCCCCCCCCCCCCCCCGGAGAAAAATGTTTGAAATAAACAGTGCATACACCATATAACTCTTACAAACAAGATAAATGTTTTTAAAAAATTTAGACCCCCTCCCTTCACCCCCCCTTACCCCCTAGAGAAATAAAATACATAAATATGTTACGTCTACGTACATTCTGGCATCGAGAATGTTCTACAACCTACCGGGGACACCACGCCATCAGCCGTCCCCCATAGAAGGGGAGAATTTATCGAATCAGCCCCGGCATGCTAGGGACGGGGGAATGTATCTCACGGGAGACGGCACCCGATGCCAAAATATTTTGTTATGTGCAGCAGGTTCCAGACCTGGAATAGAGTTCCTGTATCGGATGATCTTGTTGTTGTCTTTGTGGAACCATGTTCATCAGTGTCGTCGTCCTCGTTATTATTTTTTACTTTCTCGTATATACGAAGTATGGAGAAAGTATTGTAATCGTGCACAAAAATAACATGAAATTTTGACAGTTTTCACCGTTTTACTCCTCAGTCCTTCATCACATCCGGAGTATAGAGGACTTATTTTAATCAGGCACAAATTATAAATACAAATATATAAACATTTTCTAGAATCTATGTATATAATTCTCTTCTGGGAGCCGTTAGAAAACAAGCTGCAAACGCGCCTTGCAATCCCCTCTCTTCCTCTCTGTCGCTACCACCCCCACCCCCCCTCACATGGTCTGGTGAGTTGTGGTCACGCTAAATAAATGTTTACATTTTACAATCGTAGAGCTGGGTTTGGTGACGGCTATTAGGGGCAGATAATTTAGTTTGAAACGATTTTAAACTTAGAGGAGGTAACTCAGAGGAGGCTGCTTTCACGGGGGGGGGGGGGGGATTTAGTGTTATAAAGCAAATATTTTCAGTGTCAGCATTTGTACAAATTATGAATTACTGAAAAGTAGAAAAAAAAACAACAACTAAATAGCGGCGTATGATACACCGCGGGTCAGCTCGTATTCTTATATAACACTACGAGGGATGACAACACGAGATATAGACATGATTTTTAGTCCATTTTTAATTACTTAAACTTTTTTAAAAATAGAATAGAATCTCTGGGTAGGTTTTTCACAAAATCTATGTTTACCTTTCAAGAAAATCTTCGTATATCCATTCTTAAATCCTTTCAGCATAGGTAAGGGCTCCTGTTCTATTCACTTCTTTTTGCCTTCAGTCTTTATAACTTTACCGGCGGCGGCATCTTCCTTGACAACAGACTTGACGACACCCACAGCTACTGTTTGTTTCATATCGCGAACAGCAAAGCGAACAAGGGGTGGGTACTCCTGGAAAGTCTCCACGCCCATAGGTTTGCTTGGGGGTCTTCTATAAATGACGTCACGTTTTTTGACGATTTTTACCTCCCCCTCCCCTCCGTCACACATCGTCACAAAAAGCCCCCCCCCCCTAAAATGACGTCACACCTCAGCCTACAACCCCCCTGAAAATTGCAGTTGAATTTTTTTTTAAACATCGATATTTTCCCAAAATGTTCTTTGAACTCTGTCAAAATAGAGTATTTTAATCCTTA